AGAGTAATAATTTCCGTACGTGGTAGATTTCATGAACAGGGTTATAAAACTGAACCCATCTAATCATAAAAATGTTTAGTCCGGCGGGTTCGCTTCTTACACTTTAGAGCTGAACTTGCCATATCTTGCATTGAGGCGCTATCGATCTCCCCCTTCTTGGACGAGTACCAGCAACAGGCCTAGGAGGAGGTTCCACAACCTGAAAAGCTTCAACTTATTCGGACTCCATACCAGCAAAGATGACATATGTGGCGCTATCGAAAGGCACTCATCGATTACTATTACCGGTAGTTCCAACCAGCAATATACATGCTATGGTTTTTTCGATAAACGTGACCCACAGGAAATCGAAGAAAAATTAGAGGAAGACGACGATGATGAAACTGAGGAAACAGAAGAGGAAGATGATGATGGGGAAAATGATGAAGAGACTGGAGAAGAGGAAGACATAGAAGATCTAATTGCCTCAATTGGACATGCTCAAGAGGAGTATGTTTTAGCAAACGGTGATTTAAACGATGCAAGATCGTATTTCCTCCAGATTCTGTATTGCAGGTCAAAACAAGTATGCCTAGAATGGCAATATTTGATACGCAAGATTGAACGTGGCATTGAGAACTGGGTACATTTCCCTCACCATTTAATTACTACTACATTTCATGCGTATGACTGATTATCGTAACAGAAAGATGATCACCCTTTCGGATTTTCAACTGATCCTGAAAAGGCAATAAGTTGGTACACAGAGGCTATCAGATTTCTAGAGGTTATGGGAGCATGTCTTTCGAACACGACAGAAGTTTGGATTCGATTTGATTCTCCTACTGGGAGCATCGGTTGCTTCTCAGGCTTGCAGAAAGGAGATCAGGAACGTATACGCCATATTCGTGGGACCTTTGGAGATATGATCGATCTCAATAATGAGTTGACACAAATTCGGCTTCAACTTCGCAACTTCTGCGAAGGTGCTGCCCAAATGGTGAATGATTCGGCTTCCTATTTATCTCAACTTCCGGTTCTGACCTGCGCAGTTACACTTACACCTAACATACGAGAACAAACGAGTGAGCATCACTAATCAAATACTCACTCGCGATGCTCTTAACCTCAATCGTCGCACCTTTGATCTGAACGCTGTAGCCAGTGATTTGAATCACAATACCAACGAGGTGGCACAGAAGAATCATGGCCTCTCCCTAATTACTTTTATGGTACGTTTTAAAAACATTACTTAACCTGTAGAAACTGAAATCCTTCTAGATGAGTCAACTATATGTACCTATTGCTTTGGCCATTGCTTTCTTTGGTAGTGAAAGGGAAATACTTCCCTTTGCACGTACCCCGAGAAATTTCTTTGGTGCTGTACTCGTTATGTTTATACTTGCCAACGCGGTCGTGGCTGTTATTTTTGTAGCTGGTCGGTCTACTAGAGTCAGGAATACGCTCAAACGACTTAATCGAGTTCTGCTACACACAAAGAACACAGGCAAGGACCCCTTTGGAGAGTTTAATCACACACTAACCTTTTCTCAGAGGATCAAATTACACCATGATGCACTCTGAGATCAGGATCTCTTGATCATAATGCATGAAATATCAAGGGAGTAGATGTACAGGTCTACTGCGTTAGACTTTGCATGCTTCAAGTTTCTTTCGTCATTTCAAGCATCTATTTCCTCCTATTATGCCTTGATCATTGGCAGTTGGAATCTTCTTTGAACTTTGTTATCTGCATCCTTTCTTTGGATGTACACTAGCTGTTGTTTTTCCCCTCACTTGTTTGTTTGAATAAATCTTAGTTTTACCGTACAATTGTTCAAACACTCTCAACTTGGCGCATTGTTCAGTACCATGGCTCTACCATTTCCGTGAGATGATCAGAAGTAATGCGTGATACAATGAACATTGAGATTGGTTCCCGCATCCAAATAGGGACGGAGCAACACAGTCCGACACAGCGCAGGACCCAATGGATCAACAATGTGGACTCGGTTATGGAGGTGATCAACTTGTATCCATGTGATGTTCCTCCTATCGACCAATCTCAGGCTGCCAGCGATGCGGACGTGCAGGCTGACAGGCAACAACAAATCTTGGAACAACGACGATGAGGCTGAAATTTTTAGGACCATACGGCAATTGGCACAGCATGATCGTAACGAATTAAGACCCCGGACTTCTTCTACCATGCAAGCCTTTATGCACGTTGTCCCATGACACCTCACTCTTCTCGATAACATCAACCTGCTCTGATTTCTACCTCGTCCCTCCCCCGAGACCATTTTGACCCGCTCTATACCCAGTGCAGGCTGGGTGAAAGGGTGAAAATTATGGCCGCACTCACCGTACCTGACCTCGAACAAGCCTTGAAAGCCTTGGGACTAGGCGTTCCTATCCCGAAATTTACTCCGGCCGATGTTATCAATCAACCTCTCGATATTCTCCGCTCTTATCTTGCCGACATTCTGTGCAGCCTTGTTGAGTGCGACCACACAGCCGCGTTCAACTCCACGAAACTGTCCAATGACGCTTTGCATGGCGATTTTACTATTGTATTACCTCAACTGTGTCCAGGTAGCAAGCCTAAGGAACTCGCCCCTGTCTTAGTCAAGAAGGTATTTATAACTCCAACATTCACTCAAACACTTATTTCAAAGTCTGAGATCTTGCTGACATACCACACAGTTTCCAGGTGGCCATCCACTTTTTGCACCACCTTGGGAAGATGGTATTCACTTGCGGCTATGTGTCCATATAGATGTACTGCCACGCCTCTTCCTCCCCCTCATCCAAAAGCGAGGCACGACATTTGGCTTTGATTCATTTGTAGGCGTCCAAGAGCCTTCTTCTCCTGAATCGACACCTAGACGACTGTTGGTGGAGTCTTCCTCACCGAACATTGCCAGTGAATTTCAAGGAAAGCACCTAAGAAGCACCATTTATGGAGCCTTCACGAGCAATATCTACGAAAAACATGGTTGGGAAGTCACAAAACTGAACTATCTAGGTGATTGGGGTAAAGATATTGCTCTACTAGGAGTAGGATGGGAGAAATTTGGCTCTGAAGAGTTTTTTGAACAAGATCCGGTTGCACACTTGCTTGAAGTGTATCGGAAGATTCACGATTTGTTCCTTCCTGAGTCACAAGCTAGCAGGGCCGCTCGAGACGAAGCCAAGAAGAAAGGGGAGGACGATCAAGAAGTGACTGCAGAGATTGAAAGCAAAGGCATATATGCAGAGAGAAATGATTTTTTCAAGAGAATGGAAGATGGAGATGAAACAGCAGTTGCCATTTGCAAGCGGATACGCCAAGTCCTCGTTGACGACTATACTAATTTCTATGCTCGACTTGGTATCAATTTTGATGACTATTCTGGAGAATCGCTTGTCAGTCACGAAACCATGGACGAGTTCGAGAATCTGCTCAGGGAAAAGGGTCTCTGTCAAGAGATTGGGGGTGCTTGGGTAGTCGATATAAAGACTCATGGATTGAATCTAGAAGCTCCAAAGATTCGCGACCGAACAGGATCCCGCACATATTTTCTGCGTTATCTCGCAGCTGTCGTAGAGAGGTCACGGAAGTATAACTTTGATAAGATGATATTCGTCGCTGCCGATACGAACGGTCACTTTCCCAAGCTATTCAAGGTCCTGGAGCTTTTGGACATGGCCGAACTTGTTGATAAACTACAGCATGTTCCGCTCAGCGACATGTCCCAAATGGCCAGGAAGTTGGGGTCAGGTTATCATCCTCACATGATCCTAGATCAGTATGACAAGGAGGCTCTTGAATCACTCATTGCCAACCCTGAGAAAGCGAAGGTGATCGGAACTTCGGACAACGCTGCGAGCATGCTTGGAATCTCTGGGCTTCTAGTGCAAGAGACTTCTTCAAAGCGAATGAGCGAACACAACTTCAGTATTTCTGGGATGACAAGCTATAAACCTGGATCTGGATCTGATGTTCAGTATTGGTACTCTCGCTTGCGCGCTATTCTGGATGCCCACCCCAAAGATATCAAGGTCTCTCAAGAGGAATATGCCACACTTAACGAGGAGGATCATCTCATTCTTCTTCTCAATCTGGGTCAGTTCCCTGGCGCAGTACAAGCCGCTCTAAAAACACTAGAACCGCTCCATATCACGACATACCTGCACAACCTCATTCCTCTATTGACGGATTTCCTTGACGATGATGAGGAAAAAGAGGAGACCGAGGGCCAACCACAAGGAGATAGCGACGACCTGGAGCAAACAGCCACAGAAGATACACCCGAAGAGACACCCGAAGAGAAAGAAGAGGAAGTCATCAGCCCTGCTCAAATTGTATTGTTTCAGGCGGTACGCCAGGTACTTGACAACGCAATGGGTTTGCTTGGACTAACGCCAATTCCTAAGCCGGAACAAGAGCGTGTTGATTCACCGGTGGTGGAATAGGGACTCGATTATTGGACTCGGGCGTTTTCCCATGTCTTTCAGATAAACTCAAGTTTTCATTCTTTTGTTTCCCATATGCATTCTTTATTTTTAGTCGATCGGTGGAAGCTTTCAATATAAGATGTCACAGATTGACAATGTTTCATAGTCGTTTGAGAGGGTATTCGGAGTTTAGGTTGGAGCTGGTACTTCATGACGCAATGATATGATAACGTACGTATGTTACACGGCCTGAATTGTGTTTCTATAATTTTCTAGTAAGAGCCTTTTCGCGTTTACTACAATAGTCAAGTTCCATTCTTTATTTTCTACGAATAACAGGCTTTTATACTCCATCTGTGGCCTCCTGTTCTTTCCTAACCATGAAGAATGACTGCCTCATTTATACTTCGTTCACACTTGCTCGATTTCCCAGAGCCCATTATTTGCACCTTCCTCTGCATCGACCACAGGATCATCAAAACAATCCAGGCAGTGCTTTATCTCTTCTTGAGCTGTCATTGTTGTGGTGATCTGTATTTTTTTTATCCATCCCAACATTCATCAAACAGTTTCTCTCCCCATCCGATATGGTCTAACTGTTAGGACATGTGGCTCTCAATGCTCGTAAAGAGCAAGAGTGCCCTCAAAGTCCGGGTTCAACTCCCGGTGTCGGAAAGCATTATTTTTGCTCCTGGGTTCATTGGAGCCCTGGATAATAACGTTCCCATGTCGAAGAGGTAGATACAAGAACCAGCACTAAGACTGACGCTAGTGATGCGTTTCATCACATTCGGACTTCAATGCTATGCAAAATTGAACTTTGAGGGTTTGTGATTATGTTTTTCTCATTTCGTTTCGAAATACGTGTGTCAAAAAACATCCTGCTCAAGATCATTCATCAACTTATTCATGTTCACCTTTTTAACTTCTCGGCTCGGAGAACCCCTTGCTATAGTCACCTTCGATCAATTACGCTCGCAGCGAAGAGTGATTTCCAGCCACTTTCCATCCGTAGTACCAGTCAGCCCATAGCCTCATTATAACTCTCGATACGATTCCACTCTCGACTTCTCAAGCACCCTTAAATACGCCGATAGGTCTGGTCCGGCGCCTCATATATTGGCTGTCCCCACTGATTTTTCGACGGTGCCAGATATGAGTTATCGATCTCAACCGCCCCATTTGAAGGATATTGCACCGGACTTTGATACGCTGGCGGTTGGTACGGTTGGTAAGGTGGGGCTGGTGAATGAAGAGGTGTGGGGTTCTCGACCGGTCGCGGTGTCTTGTCGGGTAACTTTTGAAAGCCATCGCCTGACATGGGAAACGACTGCGGGTTTGTGCCAGCGGCGAGCTTTTTGTTGTATCTTCGGCGGACGCAGAACCAAACGAGTGTTATGGCGATAATGAGGATTACTGAACGTAATATTGTGGTTAGTAGAAGGGATCAGTTACTGCTTCCATTGGATTTCACTTACCGACGCCGCCGATGGCACCGGCTATTACAATTGTTTTGGAAACACCATGGGAACCAGTAGAAGATTTGGACGTCGAAGAGGTGGGTGTGGAGGTTGCGGCGACAGCAGTGTTTGATTCTGTTCCCAGAGATGCTGTATTGGTGGCTAGTTCGGACTCAGTACTTGAAGTCTTGCGCGATAAGGTAGTAGATGAAGTACCAGACTTGGGTAACCCTGTTGGTGTCTGAACTGGTAGTGTGAATGAAGCCGTGAGGGCAAGATCTTTGATAATGGTGGTGTTCCCAATGTTGAATACTTTGGAATCATCGTTGCAGCATGTGCTACCATCTGAATAACAACAATATCTATTATTGCCGCAAGATACGAGTCTGTCGTATGTTCCCTTCACATCTGCACAATTACGTTAGGAAGGCGATCCCATTGCGGTACTAAGGAATCACTTACCACCGCCTGTACAGTGTTGGAAACAGCTCTCACTCTTCCAGGTTTTGTCCGAACATGCTCCACGAAACATGTATTTCCCTTTCGGATAATAGCACAAACCTGAGTAGATGTGTCAGCTCGATGACAGTCTTTTGCTAGGCTGAACAACTGACCATTTGCTAAACACTGGTCGGCCTCGTCTAGAATACAGCATGATGTGAATTCGCTGCCAGAACAGGCAGTATAAACGTAGTCGGTCGGAAAAGTTCCATCAGGGTAGTAACTATCATTGTCAGTCGAGCATCGTGGAGCTCCTTCTTCTGTACACAAACCATGACGCTCCAACCCTTCGAACCAAAGTTTTACTGAGAAACGCGCAAGAGAATGACAATAGTAGGAAGCGCATATTGAGAGCAAACCAAAAGGAGCGACGGTGATCAAAAGAGTGACAAAAAATGCTTGAGAAAATGATGAGGAAATCCATGAGCAAACTACTTTGGATGATGTGATGTACCCCTCGCCCTCGCATGCTCAGCTGAACGGCGCCTCAGCGCCAAATTCGCTTCCTGCCGCATAGGTGCCTGCGAAACGAACGTATCCTGAAATTTGAAGGCGCATCGTAGGCCCTGGAAAGAGCCGTAAAAGTACCGTACGATCCCCACGTGCTGGGGCCTGGAAAAGTATGGGAGTGGGCGAATCAGGACTTGAGGAGCGCCAGATACGAATTGGTGTACCACGTTATAGTTTGAGACTAGGGGTTCTCAGATCCATAACACGACCACAAAACGATATGCGGTCTCTTAAATTAATATGAAAGCCGAGTTATAGAATTTTCTTTACCTGCTTGCACTAATACGCATTCCTAATATAACAACATGATAACATTTCTTTCTAAAAAGCTTGAGAGTCATCCAGAGAGTAACTTATTATTACTGAAGTTCACTTCAATTCCCACTTTGTCGACCCTGTGTTTGATGTTGCGATAGGCGAGCGGGTTGCTTGTGGCCAGCCGGCTTTTACGTTGACTTAGGAGACAGTACTAGTTTGGCTGGAAAGCTTCGTGCTAGACATTCCGCTGTAGAAATGCGGCATCAAGCGTGGGACTACAAAGACCAGGTAACGGTAACAATTTGACAGTGGAGCACAGATAAAGACAAGGGAGAATTATAGATGGTATTGTCTACGATATACTTGGACATAACCAAACTCCTGGAGGTCAATAACCGATGATCAACGCTAGAATTTCGTAGGGAAATCGAAGGAGTTGATGTCATATCCTAGGCTCCAAAACTCCAGAACTCCTCTACCGTCTACATCGTCGAATATGCTTCCAAATAAGGCCTCTGATCGTATCAACCCTAGGACATTCGGGCGCTTGCACGTTGCGCAGTTAAACTATCAAAGTCTCCTATTTAGCAAGCATGATGGGACTTTAATTCTCTTGCTCCTGCTGCTCCTCTGAGGGACCGGCGCTGACCGCCGTATCACCACGAACAGCACCACCTTCAAGACCAGCGAGCTTCTTCGCCTCGATAACTTTGAGTCGCAGACGGGCAGCTTTGAGTTCGGCTTCAGCAAGGTCAAGCTGGGCTTGGAGCTCGTCGACGTCTTCGGGGTTCTCAGCATCTGGCCTAAAATCATTGGATTAGCGGATGGCATAGCAAACGACCAGACGAGGGTAAACTCACAAGGGAGAGTGCATATCATCAAGTCCGATTGGGAGCTCAGGCGAAGCAGTACGATTGGCGGCCTGCTGGAATTTCTTGACAGGACGTTCCCAGCCTACACTGGAGTCACGGCGAAGTCGCTTGGTCTTGGCTTTCTTGTCTAACATTGTTAGTATTGATTCATGGGTAATATGAATTCACTTACTCTGCTGCTTCCGCTCGGACAATGGGCGGGCCTCAAGCCTGTCACGATTAGACCTACGGCCGCGCTTCTTAGCATCCTCGGGGATGACCACCAGTTCTTGAAAGTAGGAGTCGTCCGAAGAAGACTCAAGCTCCTCCTCAGGCTCGGGCTCCTCAACTAGAGCTTCGGGTGCCTCGTACATCTTCTTAATCTCCTTGATATCAGCAAGCCGAATCCATGGGTGACCGAGCTCGTGTATGGCGACTTTAGCCCTCAAATCTGCTTGGAACTCTTCGAGCTTGCCTTGCTTGAAGCGGGAGATCGTGACAAGATCTTTGAGAAATTGGACGCCCCAGTTGCGAGCATCATTCTCGGACTGGCTCTTGATGTGGTCTCGACGCTCACAGTCCCACCTCCGCATGCGGATGTCCTCGGGAATGACGCTTGAGACATCTTGTACTTCGAAGTTAGCGGCGATGCCGGGTAGCATGCAGTTGACCAGATCCTTTGTGGTCGCGTTGAGGGTTTCGTAGCGCCCCATGGTGACCCAGGACGGGAAGAGTTGGTGACTAGTTTCTTGGAATCTGCCGGTCAATAGAAGAGTGTGTTTTGAATGGGGAGAATTGTGCTTGGGCGAGGGAAGGAAAGTTTGCTTTACGCAGGTGATTAAAGAGGGTTTTCCTCGCGTGGCTTCCCGCCGCGCGATGGAGCGAGAGGGTTGGAAGAAAAGGCGGATTAGGTATTAAAGTAGCGGAGACCCGGCCTTGCAAAGGCCTTCTGGCTTCAACAAGTAGGAGTCTTCGACCTTGGCGCACAGAGGTGCGAAGTCTGTTCGGGGTTCGGAGGTGGAGTGCCAAAGCGAGTTGAAGAGGTAAAGAGTAGAGATGTTTATACCTCGAGGAAGGAAAAGACTAGTGCAAGAGACACCTTGCTATAATTTCTCTCACCTGAAAATTGCTTCATGGGAAGGTGGTCCGTCATACGACCGATAATACGGTTCCAGAAGTCACTAGAAATTTTGAAACGGAGGAAAAGCGGTCAGAAGGCGGAAAGAAAATATAAATAATTACAGAATGGTGTCACTTAGGTATCAGAACGTATGATCTACAGAGAAACATTTTCGATATTTATGTGCTGAGTGCCTTCCAATTGCAAGAGGCAATCCCCGATCAAAGTGGCTCTCGCAATTGCTTATATTGATATGATTGAGTTCTCCGTGAATTAGAAAACGATATGTGAAATGAGTCCGCGCAAGATTTCTTGGGGCCTACTTGATTTACGTTGAGATTCGATTACAGGGTCATGAAGAAGTTCTCTTTTCTGGGACAAATATCTATTTTCTATGCCCACCATGATGTGTCTCCTAGGGGATATGAGAGCAATGCTTAGCTTATACTCAGTGATAGTTCTGAAGAATACAAACAGTGCCGACAATAAATCGAAGCCACGCAAATATGAGATGGTGCCGACCTGGCATTTGTGAAGGAGGAGGAAGAGAGTTGAGACGTCGGCTCTCCTTTCCTTTCCTATGGTGCACGGACCATAGGAGCATCACAACCTCTACCTAGGTAAGCTTGCCCGCCCGAACTGACCCAGCCTCTCCATTTCATACCAACGTGCTACATCAAAATGTCCACCAAGAGGGCACGTTCTCCTTCTTCAAATGAATCCCCAAACATATTCCGCTCGGAGTCTATTGAAGAGCAAAAATCTGTGTTCATCGCGGCATTTTCACAATCCCTATCCGTGAAGGCTCTCCAAGGATTACCGGAATTTAGGACAGCGACCCACCGCATTGCAGCATGGCGGAAGCGATCTCGCCAGAGATCTTTGATGCCAGAAACCAAGATTCTGTTCGACCTTGGTCATGAGGATGATGGAGAGAAATGGGCTGGAGCCAGGCTACAGAATGCCCTCAACGAT